GAGCCCAGCACGGGCTCTTGCTTCCACTTGAAAAGGAAAAGGAGCATTTATAAGCAAATCAACATTACTACGAACAAGCAGTGAGTCTCGGAGGAGCCCAGAGATCAGTCAGAGCTATTTCTATGTGCCTGACTATGATTTTCCCCATTTACAAAAGACAGGACATTGCAAGTTTCATCTTGATGAACCCAAACCACATGCTTTCTCCCAAAAGTCTGTGATTTCATGGTTACAGCCCCAACAACAACCGCTTTCCCAAAGAAGCAGCTCCAAACACTGCGCGAGGTTTTGCACAGGCACCCAAACAATTCCCCTCCAGAGAATGAAAACCCAGAACAATCACTTACAGTTGTCAGACTGGAAATCTGGGACAAATTGCTCGTCATCAGGGACCTGAGCTAAAAACAACAAACAAAAAAGTGGTTTTATGGCATTTTCAGTCCTCAGAAAGCTCACAGAGAGATTTTACATGGCAAAAGGCAGAGGTGAAAACTTGCCTTCAGCTAGCCAGGCCTCTTGGAGCTGGCTGAGATCCTGGAAGAGCTCTGGAACAGAGTGAAAGACTTATGCGCTCCACAGAAGAATAAAACTGCCATTATTCACAGGATTATTTCTAAACCAACAAGTGCGAGGAGAGCAGGTCTTGCGGGGCCGCAGCGAGGCCACGGCTGCCCGGGCCCCAGCCCTGCCTACCTTCTGAGTCGTGGGCCAGGTCGGTCTCTAAAAACTTCCTTTTCCTATCGGACCCCGGCCGGCCTCGGCCCTCCTCTGCGCAGGACTTCTGCAAGGAGCAGGGTGAGAGCGAGCGCTGCAGTCCCCAAGGACGGGGGGGTGCCCAACAGGGAGTGGGGAAGGGGGGGGGGCACTGGGCAAACTTACCCCGGGGCCCATGAAGGGAACCTGCTGGTCGTAGAAGCCGTCCATGGTGCGGGGAAGGCGGGCAGTGCCCCCGACCCGCTCAGCATCGACGCCGGCCCGGGAAGTGGGGTCCCGCCTGGGCTCCGGCAGGTGCGCAGCTGCGGGAGGGAGGGGAGGGAGGAGGCCAGAATCAGGCCCTGGCCTCTGTCGGCCCCGGGGTAAGTTTGCCCAGTGCCCCCCCCCCTTCCCCACTCCCTGTTGGGCACCCCCCCGTCCTTGGGGACTGCAGCGCTCGCTCTCACCCTGCTCCTTGCAGAAGTCCTGCGCAGAGGAGGGCCGAGGCCGGCCGGGGTCCGATAGGAAAAGGAAGTTTTTAGAGACCGACCTGGCCCACGACTCAGAAGGTAGGCAGGGCTGGGGCCCGGGCAGCCGTGGCCTCGCTGCGGCCCCGCAAGACCTGCTCTCCTCGCACTTGTTGGTTTAGAAATAATCCTGTGAATAATGGCAGTTTTATTCTTCTGTGGAGCGCATAAGTCTTTCACTCTGTTCCAGAGCTCTTCCAGGATCTCAGCCAGCTCCAAGAGGCCTGGCTAGCTGAAGGCAAGTTTTCACCTCTGCCTTTTGCCATGTAAAATCTCTCTGTGAGCTTTCTGAGGACTGAAAATGCCATAAAACCACTTTTTTGTTTGTTGTTTTTAGCTCAGGTCCCTGATGACGAGCAATTTGTCCCAGATTTCCAGTCTGACAACTGTAAGTGATTGTTCTGGGTTTTCATTCTCTGGAGGGGAATTGTTTGGGTGCCTGTGCAAAACCTCGCGCAGTGTTTGGAGCTGCTTCTTTGGGAAAGCGGTTGTTGTTGGGGCTGTAACCATGAAATCACAGACTTTTGGGAGAAAGCATGTGGTTTGGGTTCATCAAGATGAAACTTGCAATGTCCTGTCTTTTGTAAATGGGGAAAATCATAGTCAGGCACATAGAAATAGCTCTGACTGATCTCTGGGCTCCTCCGAGACTCACTGCTTGTTCGTAGTAATGTTGATTTGCTTATAAATGCTCCTTTTCCTTTTCAAGTGGAAGCAAGAGCCCGTGCTGGGCTCCTTGGTTAGCCACAATCTCTGCAGTTTCTGGAGCTTTTTACAGTCCTGGCCCAGCACTGTTGGCAAGAGCTGACCTGAGTGGTGAAACTTGAGCCGCTTTAAGCAGCATTAATCACTGGCAAGCAAGCGTGTTTAAAAGGAGGCCAGTGAAAATGCAGTCCCTCTTGAATTGCATAAGAGCGAGACTTGGTTCGGAGCCGCGGTTCGTTGCCAGAATGGGTTAGCAGTGAGGGCAGGGGCCGCTTAATGGCGTGTGGTGCTTGCAGGGCTCTCGATCGCTGGCTCTCCTGGCGTTGAAGGCTCGGTTGGAGGGGAAGTGGGGGTGGGGTGGGGGGAATCAGGATGTTTTGAGTCGTTACCTGGCAAACAGAAGTAGTAGGTTGGTTTTGGTGACTGGGTTTTGCTGCTGAGCCAGACAGCCACAGAACTTAAAGGAAATCAAATTTAGCCTGCAGTCGAACAGATTTTTTCATTCCAGCTTTGTCACAGCATGCAGCAGGGTATCTTCTCCTACAGTAAATGCATGTTAATTATTGCTCTTTGATTACTTCTGAGTGGGAAGCTTGCCATTAAACTGTTCCAGACAGCCCAAGTTTCAGATGCGCTTTTTTCCTTGTCTCCCCTGAGATAAAAGGCGAGCCCAGAGTCAGAAACACAACTGGCTGTTAACATCCTAGCGCAGCCCGGCAGCTCTTGCTTGGAGCGGTAGAAACTGCAGCGTGCGTGGGAGGGTGGCTCTTAGAGCTGAAGCTGTTTGCAGTGCCTTTTGGCAGTCTCTTGGTTCCTTGTAACCTGAAGAGCTCAGAGAGAAGAGACAAACTTTTCTGGGTAATGCAGGGAAATGAGGGGGGAAAAAAGAAAAAAAAAAAGATATTTGGTCAAGGCTCTTAAAATGTTCTCCTGACCTGCTCAGCCTCTGCAGACCCAGTGTTGAAATGACTTTGTCACTTGAAAGCAGATCTCCCTGCATGACTCCCTACTATAATAACCTTCCTTAACTTTCATGGAGAGAGAAAGCAAAGGTTTCCCTTGCTGCTGTGCAAGGGGCTGTGCTGGCTGGGGTTGGGGGTGCTCAGACCAGGGTGTGGGGGGATGGGGAACCTGGCTTTTCCCTACCAACACTGGAGAGAGTTTAAAGAGGAGAGAGACTCTATCTTACAGCTTTCTGGCCCCATCTTCTCATTTCACTCCAGTTTGTAACTGTGTGCAGTGTAGGAAGAAAGAGAGGGATGAATCTGGTGCAGCCTGCCCCCAGCTTTTGCTAGCAGGGATATGCTGCTTTCCTGGGTGGGGGTCACATTGGGCTTCAGTGCCTGTTAGCACCTGGGGGAAGATAAATCCTTACCTAGTCCCTGTGGATGTTTGCAGACATGTGTTGGACTTGATTCCAGGAGTTTTGTAGGCTGCTGCTCCCTTTCATCCTGAGCAAACCAGCTCCATCTCCTGCCCCATGGTCCTGGCATTCCCATAGCCAGGCTTCCCTAGCACAGCAGCAAAAAGGGACAAACTGGGCTGGGTTTTGACCCTGCTGCCCTGGGAAACACCGCCACGTGTGCTGTGCTCAGTCTTGGAGGTGCTCCGAACTGCGGCATCGTTCTTGCCTTGCTGAGAAACCCTCATCACACAGCAGCTGCCTACAGCTCGGCTGCTGCCCACTCGCCATTCCTAACTCTGTAGCCAAGGTCCCTGGCAGACTCAGGCTTAAAGTTGGGGTTTGTCAGGAAAGTGCCATAATGTGCAGCAGGTCACTGCACCGGGGAGGAAATCCCGCCATAGACATGGGAAAAGTAGGACTCCTCTGAATAAGGGATGTGTTGTTCTTGGTATCCTGGACTGAGCAGTGAGAGGCCAGATTTGGTGCTTTATAAGCTACCCAGAGAAGTGGCAGATTCTCCCTGGAAGGCAAGGAGGCCCTGGGTGACTCCCACGGAGCTCACCACGCTGGCCATTGCGCTGCATCCCTGGCTAGGCCTAGGTGCAGTTTTGCTGGCAGCACAGTCCTGGGGAAAAGGGTATAATGTACAATATTGTATCTCAGTCGGTTGTTTAAATGAGTGGGAAGCAATGGGGTCGTATTGGGAGGATCAAGCACCACAAGAGGCTTTTTGCCTTTTACAGGGGTTTGCTCCCAGGGCACTTGTGGCCACCTGCGTGGGCAGGGTGTGGCCAAAGCCACGGGCAGGGTGCAGAGCGGTGTTTCTTACACACCAGAATGAAAGCAGGAGGTTTGTTTCTGAGGAAGGATTGTTTAAACAAAGGAAAGCAGGAGTCTGGCTTCTATTTCTGGCTCCTCTCCTGGTGTGACCTTGGGTGCGTCCTGTAACGCAGGGGGATGGAGGGGCTGGTGTGCAGCTCGGCTCCCAGGTGACAGCTTGAGCAGGTGCCAAGGTCCCCAGCCAGTGCCTGGGCTGGAAATGGTGGTTTGGTTGCCTTCCCCATGGCTTGGGCAGCGGGTGCCACCAGCAAAGCCACTGTCCTGCAGGCTCAGCCTCTTCAGAGGTGGGGAACAACCTGCCCTGTCCCCCACCAAGGGATTCACCAGCAATTCAAGGCCCCGAATGGCTTTGGGGTGTCACCTTTCCCACGGGAGAGCTCCTGGCTGAAGGTTGACGTTGGAGGCATCTCCACCTTGGCTGGTGGTACAGCACTGAGGGAGGGGGTTCACCTGAGCCCCCCATCTTGCCCTCCTGATTGTGCCACCTTGCTGGCTGGGCACAGCTCCCCTGGGGTCCTTTCCTCCCCGGGGGCTCAAGCTGCCCAGAGAGGGGCTGTCAGACCCCTGTGGGTGCGCTTGCTACTCCCATGGCTTGGTCCTGGCACGAGTGTGCCAAGGCGTGTTCTTCAGCCTTGTCTGTAGTTGAGCAGCTCCCTTTGCCTATTTTTATATATAATTTTTTTTTAGTTTTTAATTACAGTGCCGAGCGCAGGACCGGAAAGGTTAAAAGCGCTCACGCGCCCCACATGCCTTTGAGGCATTGAGGCTGGGGCAGGGCATCTCCTGCCCCGGACACCCTCCTGCCGCCTGCCCTGCTCGCCACCAGGGACCCAAAACCAGGTCCCTCCTCCCAAGAGCTGCCCCTCTGGCCCCGGTGCCCCCCGTGGCTCCTGCCACCGGGCGGGCCGGCCGTGAGCTTGGCGGCCAGAGCGGGTCTTGCTGAGCCGTGCCGGCTGGCCCCGCCGTGTTTGTGTAAGGAATCCAAACGTTGCACAAAGTCTGGGCTTGGCCAGCTGGTCTCTGTTAGGATCTTAAGGCTCGTTTCCCTTTTCTTGAATGGCAAGGCTAAGCTCTGGGGAAATTTATTTTTTTTTTTCCTTCCCCGGGCCACATGAATGGAGAGCTCCAAATTGTTTGTGAATGGAGGGTGGTGCCCGCTCGGAGACTTTTTTTTTTTTTTCCCCTCAATGAATAACCAGACCCCATTGTATGGCTGGCGGAAAAACAACCCGCTCCAACAACACGGAGCCTGTTAGAGAGAAACATGCCCGCAATAGGCAGCTGGAGCCCTTCCAAAGGCAGCTCCCCTTCGCCTTCCCGCGGCTCGCAGGGCGCCCGGGCTTGGCCGCCGCCACGCCGGCCCCCCGTTAAGGCCAGAAATGCTGAGAGTGGCAAAACCTCACCGGGAGGGGAAGGAGGAGAGGGGATAAATCCGGCTTGGGAGCGAGTGGAAGACGTGCGGGGGGCTGTGCTGGCTCAGCGCTGGGCTTTGTGTTTCAAATCCTCCTCGGGGGGTTTTATGCCCTTGGTACCAGCTGTGCCGGCCCTTTTGGGGAGAGGGGGGTAGAGAGGGGGGAGTCAGCAGCTCTTTAAAGGTTTTGACAAATTAGGGGAGCAGCTAATTACCTGGCAAGCTGTGAACAGTTGTCCTGGAGCTATTTGCTCCTCTCCACTGTAGCTGGGCTGTGTTTAGACTTCACATGAAGCTAATACTCCACTTCCGATTAGTCTTGGCTCTCCTCTGCAGGCACTATTTAGGTAAAGATCTCTGAGGCGCTTTCCCTTTCCTAGAGCGCCTGCTTTTAGAAATTAATTAGGTTAAGCGTATATTACTTGGTTTAAAATTATATATAGCGAGTGGGCTTGTGAGGGCTGGGAAGGATTTGGGTTTAATGGGATGTTTGCTACTTGAACTCATACAATTGGGGGACCCTGGGACCCGGTTGTCTTGGAGGACCAGGAGGGAGGTGGATCCCATTTAGCCATTTTCTGACCCTCTGGCCAGCTAATTGGGAGCTGGGTGTGCCCCTGTGAGGGCGAGTGGGTCACAAGCTCTGGGAGCTCCAGGCTGTCAAGTCCCCCTGTTCCTTGCCGCAGGGCTCAGGGAGGCAGCTGCTGCCTGCGGTGCCCGGGCTCGTCTCCCCTTGCTGAACGGCTTTTGGCCCGGCCCAGGTGTGTCTCACCCACAGCTGTTGTCGAGCTGCCTGCTGCCCTCTCTCAGCCCTTGCTCTGTCCCCTCTTGCCCCCATGACACTTCCCTCTTGGATCCTGGTGGGGAGCAATTCCCGCTCTGTGAGCAATGTCCTGGGATGGTGGGGCTGTCCCAGCCCTGAGAGCTCTGCCCTCTCCTGCAGCAGCAGCCCTGCCACTCCAGCTTGGTCCACTGGCACACTGGGGCTCTGCTGGGGCACCATCCTGCCGTGGTTTGGTTGCCTGATTTTCCCGGGTGGGTAGTTCAGCACCCGATTCCCAAGCAAAAAGCACCCCGGGGATGCTCCCCGGAGGTGGCACCCCCCATCGCCTTCTCCCACACCAGTGAGCCTGTATCCCCCCCCTCTGTCTTGTTGCAGTGGTCCTGCATGCCCCACCTCCAGCAAAGATCAAGCGGGAGCTGCACAGCCCTTCCTCAGAGCTGTCGTCCTGCAGCCACGAGCAGGCTCTCTGCCCCGGCTACGGGGACAAGTGCCTCTACAACTGCTGGTAGGTAGCGCAGGGGTGGCTGCTGCCTGCAGACCCCTCGGGTTGCAGCGTGGGGGGGACTTGGAGGTGTCCTCATTGGCGTGGCCGTCAGCCCCCAGCCCCTCTCCCCTCCACAGTGCCTATGACAGGAAGCCCCCCGCCGGGTTCAAGCCATTAACGCCACCCACCACACCGGTGTCCCCCGTGCACCAGGGATCGGCCCTGCCGCCGCCGGGCCCAGCCGTGCAGGCAGCTGCCCATGGGGCAGCCCCGGCCCCACACCCACTGCAGGAGCAGAGGCAGCAGACCTTCGCCGTGCCGAGGCCACCTCACCCGCCCATGCACATGCCAAAGATGATGTCTGAAAACCAATACCCCACAGAACACAGGTAAGGCTTCTCCGCCCCCCAGCCCAAGCGAGTGCTGGGATCTTGTGGGTGTTTTTGGGGACCTTGGCTCCCTTGGGATGGATCTGTGTCCTTGAGCTGTGAGGAGGGAACAGGGATGATCATCCTCTTGTGGTCACAGACCATGGACTGGATGCTGTGAGCCTGTGGAAACCAGTGCGGCAAGACTTGGTGTTTCCCACTGGGATCTTGTGGCTGTTTGTCCCCACGAGACAGCTCCCTGTGAACGGGGACCTGCTCCTCCCAGCCTCAGGGACACCAGGCAGACCCTTTGCCTCCCCCCTCGGGAGGCAGAGGCTGCTGCCTGCATCTCTCCCTGCCTCGGCAGGTGATGGTGCTGAGTCAGGGCTGCAGCTCTCTGCCATCCAAGCTGAGCCCTGCGGGGCTGAGGAGCTGCAGGCATCCCTGTCCTGCCCCCAAGCACCTCCAGGCTGTGGGTCGATCCTTAGCTCCCCAGCGTATCACATGGCTTCTCCATGATTTTGAGGTTGTGGATGGAGAGATCCCGCTCCCCATTTCCTCTTCAAGCTGTGGCTTTGTCCCCCATCACCACAGCATCTCTAGAGGCTTTGCTGGTGCCCTGCCTCACCCCGGGCAATGCTGTGGATAGGTCACATGGCACAGGTCACAGTTGACCTCCAGCTTTTCTTGTGGCCCCCTAGATGCCCTTTGCTGTGGTGACGGCTGCTGTGTCACCAGCAGCGGGCTGTCCCTTTCAGGCATGGGGCTGGATGTGACAACCTGGCAAAGACCACACAGTGGGGCCACAGAAACCCTTCAGATGTGCCCGCAGTGGGCGAGCATCCCTCCCCGGCAAAGTGGGGCTCGGCTCTGGGTGACCTTTGAGTTATGCGGGGGGCTGGCCCCGACCCCTCGGGAAGCACCATGCCAGCGTGGGGCTTGGGTTTCACTCAGGAAGGGCAGAGGGACACAGCTCGGAAATGGAGTAATCCCAGCCCAGCAGCTGGGAGGGCTCTGGTTACAAAGCCAAATGGCACACGGACGGCCAAGAGGAGCCGGGTGCGGAGATCAGAGATCGCCTTTCAAGGTGCGGGAGGACGAGGCGATGCGGCAGCACCCCCTCAAGATGGTCCCTTATCCACTGCTACCGGCAGAGACTGTGCTGGGGCTCGAGGCGGTGGTGACGGCACCCTGGAGCTGAAAATAGTGCTCCCTGCTGCCGAGTTCAAGGTTTAATCCCAGCTGTGCAGGCGGATTAGCGGCTGGCTGGAGCTGTGTAGTGGATTTGGCTTTGTGTAAGCGCCCGCCTGGGTGCAGCATCCCTCAGGCCTTGCGGCTCTCCCTTCCACCCTGGGGGCAGTTTTTACTGGTTTAACGGAGATTTTACTGTTGTAGGGTGTTTTTCTGGTTCCTTTTCCTACTCCTACTCAGATAGCCCTGTGCTGCAGCGCATAGTGCTTTGTGGTGACAGCTCCTGTGCCACCCTGCTCCTCTGGCGGAGGATCCTCAGTGCTTGGAGGCTTGGAGGGGAACGTGGCTCCCCAGCAGTCCACTGAATCCCCCAGGAGACGAGCCCTCGTGGTGACCATGCTCCTGAGGAGCTGTCCCAGCCCGCTGCAGATGGGACACAACACCACCCAAACCACCCTGGCCTGAGGGCACTGAGCCTGCACGGTGGTCCTAGTCTGGGGTGGGATCTGGTGGCACAGGGCAGGGCTGACCCTGCCACTCCCTGGTAACGCTGCTGCCCTCTCCCTTCCCCCAGGTTTCAGAGGCAGCTGTCTGAGCCCTGCCACCCCTTCCCACCACAGCCCGGGGTGCCGGGGGACAGCCGCCCTGTCTACCACCGGCAGCTGTCGGAGCCCCTCGGCCCCACAACCCCCCGCCCCCCTCAGGGATTCAAGCAGGAGTACCATGACCCCCTCTACGAGCACAGTGGCCCCAGCCTGCCTGGCCCCCCCGGCCACAGCTTCCAGCCCCCCATGGGCATCAAGCAGGAGCCCCGGGACTACTGCATTGACTCAGGTGGGTGCGCTCTGGGGGGTGTGGGTTACTCCGGTTGCGCCCGGGGGAGCGGGGCCATCTCTGCCATGGCAGCGTGGTGGGCGTGGGGCTCAGCCTTGAGCAGTGGTTGCTGCCTCACGCCAGGGCTCCACAGTGCCAGGCTGCTTGCAGCAGTAGATGATTTCTTCCCTTTTTTTTTTTTTTTTTTTTTTGCTGGGGTGCCCTGTGGCACCCAGCAGGTCCCCCTGCAGCCCTGCCCTGGGGCCAGCTGTGATTTCTGGCTGCTAGACCCCACCAACATCACGGAAAAAATCTTCTAATCGCCTTAGGACCTAAAAATACCATGACCTCGGGATGGAGGGTGGCACGGCCGAGAGCAGATGGCAGGGGAGGCGCAGCAATGCCTTCCTTCCTGCGGGGCCCAAATAACATGGTGAAAACCTGAGCTGGCTTAGACCTTGTTCCCAATGCTCATTCCAGTGTGTCCCCCTAAATCATACTGGTTTTCCCCTGAACTTGGGGTTGGGGACTGGAGTCAGGCCCAGGGTACATCAGGGCAGGGAGATGCCTGGGCTGGGCTACAGCATGTGCTTGGGGAAAAGATGCTGCCAGGCACTCGGTGGGACCCACGGGGTGTGTGTCCTTAATGGCACTTTTATCTCCCTCGCAGAAGTGCCTAACTGCCAGTCCTCATACCTGAGGGGGGGCATCTTCCCCAGCAGCCATGATGGTGAGTGCATCCCTGGCCCCCTCTGGTGCTCCCAGGCATCCCTAGTGTGTCCCATCCTCTTTCTTCCTTGGGGTAGCCGAAACACCTGTGGGAGCCCACATGCAAGCAGAATCCATACAGCCACTAAAAATAAGTCCTGTGCCATGCAGCCGCCAGCCCCCACGAGCATGCTGCGAGGGCACAGCAGTGCCATGCTCTGTAATCCAGGATAACATGCCTGATATAGCTGCTTAAAAGGTTTTGGTTCCCCCAGCTCCCTGGGGTGATGGGGGAGACAGAGCTGCATGGTGCTCCACCAGCGAGCTGGTGCGATGCCACTGAAATAACTGGGGACTGCTCTTGGTGCTGGGGAACGGGATCTTGATGCTGTGTTGGGCAAAGCCAGGGGTTTTTTTGGGTCTGGACAGGGTGGCAGAGGGGCCCTGTGCTCACTGAGGATCTCTTCCCTCCTAGGATTTTCATATGAAAAGGACACACGATTGTATTTTGATGACACGTGCGTGGTACCGGAGAGGTTGGAGGGTAAGAATCAGGTCCCAGAGGAGAGCTAGGGGGTGACCAGGGCTCATGGAGGGAGATTTGGGACTGGACTACACAGCGATCGGCTTTCAAGTCCAATCTGTACTGGCACGGCACTCTTGAGCTGCCCAGCCTCTCGCTGCAGTGCCCTATCCCTGTCACCCGCCCTGCCAGCCTGCAGCACTGTCCCCAGCACCTCTCCCTTCCCTGCCCCCGTGTCTTGATCTTGCACAAGGGGTCCTGGCACGGGGATGAGCCAGCGTCGCTGTGCGTGTCCCCTGCTGGGTGGCAGGGATGGGGGTGTTTAACCAGCTGTGTCTCGGTGTGGGCAGGTAAAGTGAAGCAGGAGCCCACCCTGTACCGTGAGGGACCTCCCTACCAGCGGCGCGGATCCCTGCAGCTCTGGCAGTTCCTGGTCACCCTCCTGGATGACCCCGCCAATGCCCACTTCATCGCCTGGACCGGCCGGGGCATGGAGTTCAAGCTGATTGAGCCTGAAGAGGTACGGTTGGGTGGGGGGGTCCTGCCCCAGCACCCGCTGTGCTGAAGCAGGGCCTGCAGCCCAGGAGCCAGCCGCAGGGTGAGCCCAGGGGTGCGGGGCCGGGGCTGTATCCTACGCAGCAGTTCATGCTTGTGCATGAGACACGTGTCTTTACTCTCTGGGCAGCTTTTGAGGGCGAGAGAGAAGAGCCAGCCACCCGTCTGCGCTGAGCAGTCGTAGAAATTGGCCTTAAATCTTCGTGGCCTCTCAGCATGGCACGTGCTCTCCTCCCAGAGCTGCTGGTGGTCACCAGCGTTGCCTCTGTGCCATGCCTTGCCGAGAGCAGCCGCTTGGCTACGGCTCCCTCCCTCCGTCCTTCCCTCCCATCCTCTGCCCTGGGTCCCCGGCAGTGGCTCTGTGCTGGCGTGGTGCCGTGCCAGAGCCGTGTGGCTCTGCAGGAGGGTGACACAGAGGAAGAAGCTGTTTGGGGAGTAATTGAAAGCAGCTGTAGTGCTGAGCTGCGCATTGTGGGTAATTACCCATAATGTCTCTTAGGCTGTGCATGGAAATTGTGGTTTTTTGAAGCAGTTTTTTTGGCAGGCTTCCCTAATCAAATGTCTCTTGATTCGGCCCCCGGTTTGGCGGTAGCGGTGCTGTGGCAGCCGGCACTTGGAGCTGGAGCTTTTATCACAGCAGGCAGGGAACTGCTCTGGGACTGTGGGGATGCTTCCGCCCCTGGCTGCTCCAGCCCCCATGAATGAGCCCCTGCCCTGCGTTTCAGTTGTGATTTCCTTCGAAGATCCAGGTCCGAGCCCCAACTGGAGCTTTCATGGCTGCTACCTCTCTCCCCCCACAGGTAGCGCGGCGCTGGGGCATCCAGAAGAACCGCCCAGCCATGAACTACGACAAGCTCAGCCGCTCCCTGCGCTACTACTACGAGAAGGGCATCATGCAGAAGGCGAGTGACCCTGCTGCCACTGGGGGGTGTGTGAAGGGTGTGAGCGTCCCCCACTGTCACCCCGGTGTCCTGGGGTGCAGCAGGATGGGGGCCAGGCCCAGCATCTGTCAGGCTGTGCTTGTTATTCCCTGGGGTGGGGGGAAGGTGCAGGGTACCTCTCATGCCCTCCTCCTCCTCGCAGGTGGCCGGTGAGCGGTATGTCTATAAGTTTGTCTGTGACCCCGATGCCCTCTTCTCCATGGCCTACCCTGACAACCAGCGCCCCTTCCTGAAGACGGAGCCTGACTGCCCGGTGCCCGAGGAGGAGACTGTGCCGCTGACGCACTTCGAGGACAGCCCGGCGTACCTCCTGGAGATGGATCCCTGCAGCAGCCTTCCCTACGCGGAGGGCTTCGCGTACTGACTCAGCCAGACGGCAGAGCCACGAGCACTAGCGCCTCCACTTTGGGCAAATATGGTTTTGTAAAGAATATTTTTTTGCTGTTCGTAAGGAGAGGAAAAACAAAAAAAACCCAACCAAGAAACTGCACGCATGTGCGCGCGCGCACACACACACACACACACACACACACACAAATATTGGAGGAATCTAAAATGCCCTCTGTGTGTTGCCGCTGAATTCCCACCCTTGCTGTCCAAGGGCTAGTGCGTAGGACTGCCTGTGGCTAGCACCTCCCGCCAAACCTCAGCGTGATGTTTTGGGGTGCTTTGAGCTAAAGATGCAGTCTCTGACCCAGGCCCTGTTCCTTGTCAGCACGGCGAGGGCTGAGGGCTGCGGCACTGCCCCAGGACTGGCCTGAGCCAGCGTGGCTGCCTATAGCCAACTGTCACGACAATCTGCTTTGCATCGCGCGCGATCTGCGTAGCTGCCTTGTGTGGTGGAAAGGGCTTTGATTTGCACAGAGGAGGGATGTGGTGGGGGGGCCCCTTGGGCCAGCACCCCAGGGCTGATTACGCAGCATCCTACCCCAACCCTGAGGAGCCTTCTGCCTTTTTCCCAAACTGCCCTTCCCTGCACCCCTCTGCCCCATGATATAACCTGATATAACAGTTTCTCAGCACCCCCCCCAGGCCCTCTCTGTGCCCTTCTCACTCCTCCCCAGCTTGGGCTGCGGGCCAAGGGTTGCATTTCAGGGGAGGAGAACCTGACATACTCACCCTCCCCTTTTTTTTTTTTTTTTTTTTTT